ACAAATGACCCCTCTTTGTGTTTCTTGCTGGCGGCGGGAAACCGCTGCGGCAGCCGCGCTGCGGTGTGTCTGTGCATATGGGGTTGTTTATCATGGAAATGTGTGAAAATAAACTTAAAAAACAAAATAAATAAAAAGAAAAAACAAACAAATTAAATATAATTGCAAAACAAAACCACAGCGGTCAGCAGCGGAAGAAGGCCGCGCGCTGCTGCTGCTGGGGCTCGTCGACGCTGGCTGTCACTGGGGCCCTACATCCTTCGATATTAAAAAGTTTTGTGAAAAACTTTATTAAATAATAATTATTAATGTTATTATTATTATTTATTGAAATTCAAATTTCTGTAGCTTTTCTTGTTCCAGGACCACCGCACGACCCGCTCCGCCGATTCAGGTTTCTTCTGCGCGCCGCCGCGACCTAGCGTGGCATTTAACGAGGAATTTGTGCGTTTTTTGCATTTTCTTTTGAACAAATGTTATTATTTTTGCTTTATGAATGCATTTATCCGCGAGATCGCCTTTTTTATTCATAGACAGAGGCGCAGTGGCGTCAACCCCATATCAGAACCTTCGGTGCTGCCGACGGGAGAAGAGGGTGCAACCGCCGCATATTTTTGCATAGATGATTGAATTGAGTAATATTTAAACTTTATAAAGCATTTACCACAATGCAGGAGGCTTTGGATGAGTTTACTTCTCTGCATGAAGCGCTGCTGAAGCAGGAAGCACGCGCAGAAGAAGAGGAACTTGAACACCTGCTGCGGACGCTGCCCCTGGGGGAGCTCGCAGCAGCCGGGCTGGCGTTTCCCCGTATGCTGGTGACGGATGTNTGCGGACGCTGCCCCTGGGGGAGCTCGCAGCAGCCGGGCTGGCGTTTCCCCGTATGCTGGTGACGGATGTGAGTTCAGGTCTTTTCGGCCGCACCATCGTCACCTTCACATCGAAGCGGGCGGTGCTGCAGCGGGTGCATGCTGCTGCTGCAGCAGCAGCAGCAGGACAGCAGCAGAAGCGTGAGGCAGAGCAGGCGGAGCACAGGCTTTCTCCAGGAGATATTGTTGGGGTTTTTCCCTCTGATCATCCTATTACAGGCAGCAGCAGCGCTGCTGCTTCTGGTGTTGTGCATCGTCTTGTTGTTTCTGGTGTATGTGTTGCGTTTGATGAGGGTAAAGACCTAAGCTGGCTAGCTGAAGCCTCAGCAGATGGAAATACAGGAAAAGTATTTCATCTTTGTTTAATAGCGAATGAAGTTACCATAGAAAGACAGCGTGCTGCTCTGCGGCGGCTGCGTGAAGCCACCCCCAGCAGCCCTGCATGGAGTCTGATTTCTGTATGTTTTGGTTTTTCTTCTCCTCGTTTTTTTCCTTTTTCTGTGGCTAAGTCGATAGATATAGGTTTTAAAGGATTATATACAGCTCGTGAAGCGCATGCAGCAGCTATTTCAGCAGCAGTAGCAGCAGCAACTCAGCAGCAGCAGCTGCAGCACGACTGGCAAACTGTGCAGCAGCAGCTGCCTGCAGCTTATATAAACTCTCGCTGCCTCTGGGGTGAGTGGTTTCGTTCTGATTTAAATGAAGCACAAAAGAAAGCAGTTTATATGGGTCTTCTTTCTATAGATTTAGCTGTTATTCATGGGCCCCCAGGCACAGGCAAAACAACAGCAGTGGTTGAG